ATGGAGATGGACCCTCGACGATTAACCGAGTGGGAACGAGACACGTCGCGCAGCGCGCGAGTGGGTTGTAATAAAAAGAGAACGCGCGACGCATTAGGGTAATCGCCCCGTTAAATAATTCATCGCGCGCGGTCCATTCAAATTAATAACGTATTACCGAAATCGGTCCCCCAATCGGGCTCGAATGCGGGGATCGCTTTGTATACTCTATCATTTCCGCAGTGGTTCTCCTCCGCCTTCCATTTTCAACATCCTCTTCCTTTTCTTTTTAGATATATTAGCAGCTAAACATCTCAAGAAATTATATCGATGACTATTATTATTCTTCTTCAAATTGAACAGGATCTAACGAGTAATTCTAGTCTTTATGTTCTTGTTCCCCTTTCTTTCTCTTCCTCCCTTTCTCACCGTCCTTCTCTCTCCCTCTCTTCCTGCGAATAACATATATTTATTTTACTGGAAAATTATGATTTTTTACCTTCTTCGATTACCATTCTCCTACTTCTGCCCTTAAGCGATGAAAATTTTTTATTTATTTAGCGTAATTTAGTTTGTCAGTCTTTTTCCAATTAATCACTCACACCTTCGGTATAGTATAATTTGATTCGTGGATATCATACACATTTTCTTATTGTTCTACGTGTTTCTAGTTGCTTTTCAATAATATTTCAATCGTATAGATAAATTGATGCCAGTAACTGGGTTAAGCGTATGATTTTGGATGCTTCGAGATCCTCTCGAAAATCCTTTCGTTTAGGAAGCCTGCAGCGAGGTGCATGCGCACCGCTGCCAGTCCAAATCGCATACAAATGAGGAAAGAAACGGGTCTCGGAAACAGAGAGAAACCGTGCCTCCGCATATACGCGGCGTCCCCGAGAGCTTCGTATAATCATTCTCGGAAGGACGATCCCATGGTTGAGGGATGACCACGATAATAATAATTTGAATCGTGCCCACTTAGCATATGTGTAATTTACCGCTTAAGATGATTTTGTCGTCTCCTCGGCGTCGCTCCTCCTCGTCCCGTTCGGGGCTGGCCCAGGCAGAAGCTTCGAAACGACGAACCCAGAAATTCATAATCACTGAGGGCTGGGGGTTGAAGACCGCAGGCGATTGCCCAGAGACACGGTATTCCGGCGGAATGAAATACGGGGGAAAACGCGAGCAATTTGCGGCCATCTTTCACGGAATGGGCGAAGAATTGGCGGCCGGTGCCAGTGGAACATTCGCTCGCCGCTGGAGACTTCGACGCCCGCAAGCGCGAACACCTTTCACGTTTGTTCCGCGTCGAGTCCCTGTGTTTACTTTTTAACGCGTCGACTGACACGGGAATTTTAGCGTTTTATGTAATGTTACTTATTCGTAGCAATGATAAATGTTGCTAGAAAGAATTATTAATGATTTGGTATCACAGTCGTTTCGTTACGCTATTATCTATGTACTTAGTATTTACATGGTTAGGTTGTTGAGTATTTTTATTCGACTTTAATCTTTTTATCAATTGTTATCGATCAATTTGGAAGCCTTGATCGTCGGTGAACTGCTATGGTAATCAATGTGTTAATATGTTCGCTACGTGTTACAGTATTGTATTAAGTGCAACGCTTTATAAATTATAAGTAATGTTTGAGAAGTCAATCCCGCCAACTTCTTTCTTGTTTATACTACGTGTTATACTGTTGGATAAGAACTGTTTTTATAAGAAAAAATTGACTTGGATCACATTTGACAGGTGTTTACATAAGTGTCCATAATTTGTTGCTTTTGTCAATTGAATCTGTGATACCTGCATATGGAACTGCGGTCGAATGACTTACATATAGTAATGTTACGGCTTGTATAATTTTGTTGAACCACAATATTACTTATCGCAGTTCGCGGTTTGGAGATCCATGGCTTAAATCGATAGATTACTCGCTTCGTAAAAATAATGTTTAACGCTCAAGAAAAGTTGCCGGGTCCAGCGACCGAAAAGAAAATAGTGCGACGACTATGACGGTAATATCTGTTCAAACACGTATAATTACCGCGGGTCGTTCGTTGCGCTCATTTAAAATGGCGCCTGTCGAGATCTTCTGAAAAAAACGAATTTCTATGTTTTTAAATATGATGGTCAAACGTCTAGGTGGATCTTTGCGTGACAAAAAATGATAAACAGTTCGTGGAGAAATCTGGAGCTGCAAAAACGCTTTGAATGAATACTAAAAAAATGGGAATATAATTATACGTTCGGATTATTAGAGATATTTTCATGAAACTATTTACATGAATTCATAAGGGAACGAGAACTCTGTTGGCCCCGTAACAGGGGATCACGGAACGTCGGAATTCAGAGATCAACAAGGAGACAGCACAAGACAAAAAATACGCACAGTTTGAAACGTAGAAGTTCACGAAATGACTACAGATCATTGCCAACGAACATGAACTGAGAGTTTCAACGTTTTTCTTTAGCAAAGATAATGAAAAATGTTGACAATGGAAATTATCGAATTTCCACGTTCCTCGAAATCCATCTTCGAATACTTGAGCGTTTCACGCGAAGATTCAAGATCGTCCGCCATTTTCCAGACATTTTTCGATCGACCGTTTAGCTATTCGGTGCGCCCGC